AGAAAACCATTATTACTTGGCCACAAGATGAGGTTAAGTCAAGTCAAGCATAGCACGGCACTTGTGATCACCTCAACTTGCTAGCATCCTGTTCTATTTACTGTATAATTATCTCTCGTCCAAATTAGATGGCATCACAAAGTTTATATAATTTATTATTAAAATTTTCGCAATTTGTCCTCTACTAGACATGGTACATGTAATGGTACTTGGATTTGTACCGTGAGTGCATATTAATTGGCCCACCCTCATTTCAACGTAATAATATATGACTATCTTACTTTTAATACATGTTTTTTTTTTCTGAGAAGTAATGTCAAACCCTTGAATGAATAGGTAACCCTGCAAATGAGAGAAGACCGAATTGGATGGTGCTTATGATCGCTAGTCCGTACCTTGCTATGGCTGACGGGTCCCATGCCGCCGGTACGTCACGGACGACGTGGTCGGCGAGGGCGAGCGGGCGGCAGTCGAGGCGGAGGTCGAGGAGGGAGATGAAGTAGCCGTCGAAGGCCAGGCACTTGGTGGCGGAGGCGTCGTCAGCCCAGGAGCCGCACTCCAGGTCGAAGCACGAGTTGAAGAGCCCCGACGGGATCTTCCCCGTCAGCGAATTCCGGTGGTTGAACACCTCAGACATCTGCAGCAGGTCAACATTGCAATGCTCGTTATTATATACATACATTTTGTCAGGAAAATAAACTTTCTTCGTTGTTGTTTCCAAAAAAAGAGACAATATTTTCTTCTCGTTGATCGGCTATTCGGCTTCGTCAAGATGAAGTACCCGGTCATTGCTGCCCTCGTTATTTGGATCAGAAATTACGTCTTGACGACTTTTTTTTCTAAAGAGAAATTGAATGGAAAATGAAATAAATGACGTCACTTTCGTGTAATAAGCATCGTACCCCGTGCTGCTACCTGACAATTTTTTCTTCCAGTGTACGAAAGAAACTGACAGCAGAAAGAAGAAATAATGACATGTCATTTTCCACACTTGAGCAAATTTTTTAGTTCATGAATACGCAACATTGATTGAAATTTGACTCATTTGGCACCAAATTTCCAACTTTATTACCAAAAAAAAAATGTTTATCTTCAAATATTCTCAAAAAAATTCAAAATGAAGCTTTTATCAGATCAACAGCAAACCTTGTTGAACTCGAGCACGTCGGACTTGAACCTGATCCGATCGCCCTTGCCGCACTTGACGTCGGCGGGCACATCGGCGACGACTCCAAAGCCCGGCACGACGACCTTCTCCGCCACCGCCTTCTCTCCGCTCCTCAGGACAAGGCAGCCCCCCGCATCCTTGCAGTGCTTCAGCCTCAGGTCGCCCGTCATGTCGACGCCCCTGCCCAGGCACCTCACCGCCTTCTCCACGGCCGCCGCCGCGCCGTCGCCTCCAGCCATCCTCCCCCAGCCGCCGGTCATCTCTCTGCTCCTAACCATGTCTTCTTCCGATGGTGTGATGCAACAATCCTATTCTATTCTATATGCGCGCCATTGCTTGAGTACGAACTTGTCAAGAAACTTGCCAGGACGAGAAGTTGCTCAAGATGTCAAACAATCAAGCAAGGTTGGTGATTGGAGGTTGAAACTTGTGGCAGCTGCGAATGAGTAATGGAGAATGAAATTCCACTTTGGGGGGTTGGTTTATATAGGGATCAGAAAAGGAGAGGAGAAGGGAGAGATGATGACAGTGGGAACTGAAACGCCTAGGTTGACTGCGATTTTGATTTCTTTGTCGCATTCTTGAATGGAACCAGAACCAGTTTTTTTTTTCTTCATTATTTTTTTGGGGACCAAGATTTACCCTTTCTTGATGGGCACCGCCAAAGGGCAAAGGCAGGTTGTCTTGTTTGGACAGCTTCAATCAACCACTAGTTTATTCGTCAGGACACACAAGTGTCCTCGCATTCTTGAATGGAACCAGAACCAGTTTTTTCTTCATTATTTTTTTGGGGACCAAGATTTACCCTTTCTTGATGGGCACCGCCAAAGGGCAAAGGCAGGTTGTCTTGTTTGGACAGCTTCAATCAACCACTAGTTTATTCGTCAGGACACACAAGTGTCCTCGCATTCTTGAATGGAACCAGAACCAGTTTTTTCTTCATTATTTTTTTGGGGACCAAGATTTACCCTTTCTTGATGGGCACCGCCAAAGGGCAAAGGCAGGTTGTCTTGTTTGGACAGCTTCAATCAACCACTAGTTTATTCGTCAGGACACACAAGTGTCCACTGTAGTCTGTTAAACTTCAATCTTGTGGTACTGAAAATGCTACATATTTCAAATTATTTTGATACCATCAGAAAATCAACAACATTGGTGACAACTACCGTAACATAACGTAATCAAAACTAGGGCGCCGCCAAAGGCCGGAGTTCCATGTAAGTCCCTGTGATGTGCTACGTATAAAAGTCACCATTCAACATTAGTGACAACTACTATTATTGAAATACTGTGGAATGCGGATACATATTTCAAATCCTTTGCATAGTATAGAAGTCATCAATCAACAATAGAATTAGCTACATCGTAAAATAAAGCAAAATAGGTTCTCTAGAATTTGATTGAATCAAATCATATTGTTTTGGTAGCCACGAAATTAGAGTGGTTCATCTGGTTGGGTTCCTCGACTTTATGCTAGTGCTCTTATTTTGATGTGCCCATCAAAAGCGAGGTGCCTACGGTGCCTTCATCAATCTTGAGTTCAGTCTTAATCTTTCGAAAGTGCTCATAGAGATAGGATGTATATGCATGTCTTCGTAGAGATTAGTACTGTGGTTAAAAAATTGCTTGGATAACCTATTCGGTATGTTTAGAAGTAGAAACTACAATCCCAATTAATTACAGTGAAAGCCCATAATACCTAAGTAAAATTCCTGGCCTGAAAAATAAAGAGACTAACTTTGTTCTTTTAATTTACTTGTTTGCCCCTCCTTCCCGCCCCCACCCACCACTTTCCTCCGAAGTGACTTGTTCTGCACATTCTTGTAACCATTGCACAACCATGACAGCATAACAAGGTGGAGGGAGCACTATTGAGCATGCGTGCTAAAAAATACCGGAAAGGTATTCCAATTCAGAGACTTAAACGGGTTGTGATGGTTAAAATCAACCTTACCCCTTCTTGAGGGCCCGAAGGTTTGACCTCCTATCCTTGTGATGCCATTCACATCGAAATGTCTTGTCTATCAAGAACCATATCATAGAATATTTTTTGAGGGCCCATATCATAGAATATTGGTGAGAGTATTGAGATGTTGCAATCCAATATCAAATTATTTGTTTCCTAAAAAAAAATATCAAATCATTTTCACTAATCCATTCTCTAGTAGGCTTCTCAATCTAGGTATATTTAGATCCACCCAACTAAGTTATCTACTTAAAAAATAGTTGGGTGGATCTAAACATACCTAGTTAATAGGATTGCTAATTGTTAGCTAGGCATCTAGCTAACAACTATATCACTAGCCGCCCAACCCAACTAATACAGCTAATAAATAAAAAACACTTTTGCCCTCCCACGTACCTTTGTTCGGTACTGTACCAATAGTAGCTCTAGAAGATGAAAGGAATTATGGATAACCATCCAATTTTTAGCTCGTGGATAGGTAGCCAGCTATTAGCCATGAACTAATACATCCATCCTATAAAGAGTATTATTCTAGTTTTGTCCAAGCTAAACAATCTTAGATTTGACTATATTTATATAAAAAATTATCAATAGCTATAATATCAAATGAATATTATGATATTTACTGTGTAATTTATTTTTCTATAGTAGATCTATTTAGTGTCATTAATATTAATACTTCTTTTTATAAATTTAGCTAGGTATAAGAAACTTTGACTTAGAAAAAACTAGTATTAGCCAGCTCACTAGTTGCTAGTGGATTCAAATCATAATTTTTATTCCAGTCGCCTCCCATTGGCCTGACTAGCCGCCAGCGATGATTCATCAACGTTCTTGAAGCTTCCCGATTCACGTTACCTACCCAAAAATTTTCAAACGGTTTTGCGACTTGCGAAAGCACTTCTAGAACTCTAGTAATCGATTCGAATAATACTCGCAGCGAAAAAAAAAAGCATAATTCATAAGGGGGCAAGAAAAAATTAACAATGTTTCATAGAAACACTTGTACTGCGTGTTTCTCACTCGTGAAAAAAGGGCACGGGTAAATCTGAAAGGGATTTAGTAAACGGGAACGTGCGATCTCTCACGCGGTCACGTCGAGGCGAGGCCAGCTACCGTTTCAGAACCAAAGATCGGTTTCACATCATGTCACCGCCCACCGCTAGACTCCCAAAACCTTTGGAACCCGACCCGACCGTCGTCAGGTCAGGTCAGGTCAGCGGTCAGCCACTCAGCCTTACCATGGTCCCAAAACATAAACCAGCAGTGCCTCATACGACACAAGATCAATTCTGCTTCGAGCCATCGACTGCCACACGCATCACATATAAACCCGAGACCTGGTCTTGCGAAAATCAGTGGACGGCGCTGCAGACGTCAGAGCGAAAGCGGCTTTCAGTTTCAGCTGGCGGGACGAACCCGGCAGCGGACCCGTTCTGTGTCTCCATTGCAAGACCTGCCTTGGGTCTCTGCCCAAGAATTTCCGTGTATATGAGTGATATATCAATATCATCAAATATCAATATCATCGGTGATCGGTGAGTCTAGAAGCGGCTATGTTCGCTATGTTCGTGGTATCACATCAAAACTGCATCAGCCAATCAGACAAAACAAAATATCAGATTTGGCGTCACACGAATCGTGCAGAAAAACCCATACAAGTGCACAACTCCGTGATAACAGAGAGCTGATGTTTCGGCTGCCACAAGAAGAAACTTTGCACATCATTTTCACCATAGCATTACCGATGAGGTACTAACGAATATGAATCCCGCCAAATTGAATGCTGATCCATTGTTCCAAGGCCATCACTGAATAGCAACTGTGGGAATCCAACAAGATCATCAACCCTCGCTACACGTTAAGTCATAAGGCAAACTCCATCTCAGCTCGTTTCAGGACACGTGAAACCATAGAGTAGAATTCAGGTTCTTCTTCTTTTATTCGATCGAGTGTGGTGGATTCATGTGCGTCAGCCTGCATAAATAGGAAAAGGTGAACCAATGAACAGGAAAAGCCCGCCAGTCCTTTCGTCTGCAACATATGCCATCTTGTTACCTCACTAAACTTGAGAAGTATTAAGTTTGAGATGCCAGCAGCCTTTGATTTGTCCCACCTATAACAAAATAATTACAGGAATTAATGTTAAAAAAAATCTCGTCGAAATTTAAGACATTACCAATGCCAAGCCACTTCAGAGTTACAAGCTAACATCGCTAGTTAGCCAGGTTATAATTCATATTGCACAAGTTAAAAGCTGACAGTCACCCTGCGCTAGAGATAATGCAAGTTCGATTTTGCTTTTCCTCTACCAAATCAGATATGCTGGGAACTTAGGTACTGCCACAAAAAGCATGATGTATCTCAAGCCACGCTATCAGTTAGAGAAGGAAGCATACCGAACAAGCATTAGTTCATTGACAGATCTCCACATTTTCCGGCCAGTGTCCTTCTGACTTTGGTCTCTAGCACTTCGACCACGCCACAATTCTTTGACAACGTACATTACCTCTTCAGCATCTACCTTTAGATTGTAAAAGAGAATGTTACAAATGTACAGAAGGATATCACAAGTGAAGGTGGAGAGTTCCTTTTTCACATGTGCTGGTGACAATCAACATAAATAAATAACATCTCAACTACATAATGCTCCATGAAAATATCTTATTTCCAGAATATGAAATTACATAGCAAGAAACATAGTACCAGAACTTGCTCGGCTGTCCCATACATCAGCTCCTCATGCTCAATAAGACGCTGATGAAGTATACGGTAATGATCCAAATCCAGGTTAACAACTGGTTCAGTTTGAAAATCTAATCCAGCAAGCTGAGTAATCACATAGGAGGCCATAACTTGACCAAATATTGCAGGGATGGTTCCCAGTACTGGTATAATGCGAACCCTAAATCCTGGCACAATCTGTGGAATAATGCATAGCATGTTGTCAATAGTTACGTACACACACATCATGCACTCCTATAATATACAAGCAACTGAGCGTTCTAGAGGAATTTAATTAACTCTTTGTAACAAAAATTTTTTGTTCGGAAAATCACGAACAAGCATGTAGCAGGAGGGTGGTAATACAAGTCCTAGGGGAGCTGACCTGGTAATCTGATGGAGTTTCCTCTTCTTTTGAAGCTTGAAAAGGAAGCAGCTTTGCCTTTGGCTTTTCCAATGAAAAAACTACTGGTATTCCACCCTCAATTCCATGTTCTTTCTTGAGCCTGTACCTCACCTAAAAGGAGCAATCACAACACCCCATTTGCAGCACATCTTGACATGCCAGTTAGCTAACGAATGAAATGGCAGCTTACAGTGGGACAGTTTTTGGAAGAAGTATCAAACTAACCGATCGAGAGAGGGGTCATTGCTTGATTCTCTCAAATCTGCAACACGAATTCTGGTGGGATCAGCTCGAGCTCCAGCCCCCATTGCAGAAAGTACCTTCAAACCTCTGCGCATGCAAGCTGCAAGGAGTGCCACCTAAGGGGCAAGGATATTTGAACGGTTACAAACAATGAAGACAACCATTGACAAGCTTACAAATGATATATTCGTAAGTAATGTTCAATGAAGCCATTCGGACAAAAAAAAACAGGTTTCAACTGTCTATGCAGGGTGGCTTTGTGTATTGATCATCAGATACAGAGGTAAGGGAAATTTGAGTTTACATAGGAACTAGTTTTTCAAACAGTGGAACTACTACTACTGCCAAGACTTTCATCAAACTGAAAGCATGTGGTGTTGCATGGAGTATTAAGTTGATAACAACAACAAAACCTTTAGTCCGAAGCAAAGCAAAACAGAACATCCAGAAAAGATTTAAAGCACAGCTATGCCTGAATACTGTATCTAAGCATGAAATGCATGGAAGGATCTATGTATTTTCAATTTTTCTGCAAAACGTGCAGAGTAGAATTTTTGTTAAGGAGTTACATCACATGCGAGCCAACCACAACCTCTAAATCTAAGCAGGAAACTAGTATATGCAAGAACCTGCAACCTATAACTACCAGTACAAAAAGGAGGGTGGGGGTAACATAAAATAGGGGGTTGCACATATAGAAAAGAAAGTTGAAGTTTGAATGCTAGCATTTGTTACCTTGGTATCAATGTTATCTATGCAATCAAGAACAAAGTCAGGCTGTCCAGAAAGAATTTCCGCCTCAGACGATGCATCATACAATTGCACTTTTGCATCTATTTGGCACTCTGGGTATATCATTGAAAAATGCTTCTTGAGGCATAATGCTTTTGAAGTTCCAACATCATCTCTGGTTGCCACAGCATGCCGGTTTAGTGATGAGAGTGATACCTTTCAACATATCATGAGTGCCTTGTTAATGCCCACCTATTATAAATGCAAGATGTCACTTACAAAATTGTAATGTTCACCTACCCATTTGATACAGCTGTAAAAGCTACTTAGTATACTTTGCATGGTTATATATTATATCCTAGTTTTAACTAATAATGCAAGGGAACCGACTAGATGATTCCATGATTCTAGATCTGATATGTTTAGAGATTCGAAAATGAATCCAGCATACGACCATGCATTCCATAAAAATGAGATCAAATAAATTCTCAACGTGTTGACAACTCTCTAAAACAAAAACAAAAAAAAGAACTAAGAGTCTGAACTGCTTAAGTGGTTGTATGAACCATGTGGATTAATCAGAAATGACTTTAGAAAAGGTTGGTTTAATTGTTTATAAGAAAACTGGTTTGCAGTTGTTATTCTCTTCTGATAAGTTTATAATACCTTGTTCAGATGGGCCTTTAACCATTGAGAACATGAGATGAGAATTTGTTTTAAGTTAAAATAACTAAGATTGGTACTCCCTCCGTTCCAAATTATAAGTCGCTTTGACTTTTTTTGTTCATCCATTTTGCTATGTATCTACACATATTATTATATCTAGATGCATAGCAAAATGAATGTACCAAAAAAGTCAAAGCGACTTATAATTTGGAACTGAGGGAGTATATAATATAAATCTTAGTCAAAACAAGATTTTCCTCAGTCCTAGTTAAATCATTCATAACCAAACAAGATTTTTGGTTGTTAAACCACGAGCTATGTTTAACTAGACATATTTCTAATTACTTAGAGAACAAAAAGGAAAACTAAGTGCATCCAAGTTTTCATAATTATACGATGTATCCACCTCTGGAACACACACAAATCCACACCTGATCAAAATCCACAAGAAGCAACCTGCCAACACCAGATCTCAGGAGCATTGAAGCTGCATGACTGCCAACCCCTCCAAGACCAATGACCACAACATAGGATTCAGTTACTTTCTTCTGAGAGTCCATGCCAAAAAATTGTATATTCCTACATTACACAAGTAACAGATTTTGGTAATCAGAAACACCACGAAAACAGCAATATCCTGAGCATATTCGGCTAAAGGTACTCAGCACATTAGAAAATGTGGCAAAAGTTTTGTTTGTAGTGAAAATGAAGAAATTAACAGGTGAACTGTTAATAGTAAGCTATGCACAGAAACAATAGAACACAATATTTCACTTTCTACACAGGAATATAGAATCAAATGATGAAAAACATAATTGATTGATGGCAGCAATAAGTAGCATATCAAGCAATGCAGTTACCTCAAATTTGTATATATCTATATCAACAAAATGTGGAATTATCTGGTTGCAGAGTATAAGTATCAAACAACAAGTAACTGGGTCAATCAAGTAGACAGCAAGAGATGGTTTATACTTTACAGTTAGGGACTCGCTCCATACATATAGAACTTTACTAAGGAAAGAAACCAAAAGGTGCAAACCTTGTAAGCTGTTCAGAGACCACTTCATCAGAGAGAAGATCCGAGCTACCAACAGCGCCCAGATGCCTGTTGGACCGAGTGTTCCCTGATTGAAGAAGCGAACAATTTAAGATACCAGAACTTTGGAATACACAACCAACATCGCCAAGAATTAGTGATTTCAACAACAAAAACACAAGCCAATCTTAAAATTGCAATCGCTTTGCAAGACGACAGAATCTACAACTAGTACACGTTATCCTACTGCTAAACTGCCAACGTGAGCTAACCGCATGCGTACCAGCCGTCATTCCATTGGATTCCAGCAGGTTCCGCACGTGCCCCTCTCTCCGCTTGGATCTGCGACATCGAAACGAAGCAAAAGCGTCAGCAGAACGCTCTGTGACATCCAGGTCCAGCTTGGCGTGCGGAACGGGGAAGGGGGAAGTTGGTCCGGTTACCTCGAGAGATGATTCATGACAGCGGCGGCAGAGAGCGCGCCGACGGCGGCGCCGGCTGCGGCTGCGAGGAGCCATTCCTTCGCCCGCTCACCCATCTCCGGCTGCCGCTGCCTAAACTAAAACCCTTGGAAACGAATCGGCTGCGCGAACAAAATAGAAACGTTTCGCCGTTTCGAGGCTGTCGGCGCGGCCCGCTACGATCTGATGACTGCCGTTGTAGAGTCAGACGAAGGGCCATGAGTTGGTGGTGGGCTGATGGGCTGACAGGCCTCATCTGAGGCCGTTTTTTCCCCAGTGCGCGCTCGCTGCTAGGGTTTGCAGCCTGCTTGCGGCGCCAGCCCATCTCCCGCCCCACGCGGGCGCGCGGCGCCGCTGTCCGCTTCTCGCCCTCTCCCCCACGCGCGCGACTTCTCTTCTCCACGCGCGGTCTCTCTTTCGGCGCCAGCGCGCGCGGTTTTTCTTCTCTACGCGCGCGGCCGCGACGGAACTGTTTCTGGGCGCGGCTTTCGTCCCCGAGCACGACTCCAGATCGACCGACGCGCGGCTCCCGGCACCAGGTTCCGCAACTTCCCCTCCCCGGCGCTCGGCCCCTTCTTTCCGGCCCAGCTGTCGAAGGAGAAAGAAGGATCTGCGACCTCCCTTCCCGCCGCCACCAACAGCGGCAACTCCAGGCGTATGACCTTCCCTCCCTTTGTGTTTCTTCAGACAGTTGAATCAGTCCTGGATTTGTAGCACTACCTACTACTGTGATAATCGTAACTGTAGCCTGTCGCATCATTTCTTCAGACAATTCTAGTGATTGCTGTTTTCCATTGGTTTTGTGGCGGCCAGAAACTGTCTCTGCTACATATTTACTATTACTGGATACTAGTAATTGCTCTCTATCCTTATTGTGTTGCTGAAATAATTAAAAAATCTGATGTATCCTTATTATGTTGTACTACTGACTTTATGCTTATTTAATTTGGTGGGTTAGAACAAAATCGTCTTATTGGTTATATGTGCTGGGTTTTTTTTCACAGTTTGGGATATGTCGCAGGAAGGTAATTGGTCACGAATGATGTCCGAGGCGGGTGGGATTGATGACATTGCAATTTTACCCATTGGTACCAGGCATAGTGGACCAAAGAAGAATGCAATCCGTGCTGCCAACTACTCTCAGGAGGAAGATCTCCAATTGTGTGAATCATGGGAGAACATCAGTTTGGATCCTATCACTGGAAATGAGCAACCTAGTGAGGCCTATTGGAAGCGAATTCATGATAACTTTTATGCCAATAGAAAATTTGCATCTGATAGGAATGCAAATTCTCTGGAGTTGCTGATTCTGTTTAAAAACAAAGATGGGAACGGGGGTACGGATGGCCAGATGGTGATCTGATCTGACAAGCGAACAAGGATGGGAACAGGGATGCCACGCCTGCGATATCCGTCGTCCCCGGCAAGGCGGTGACACTGCGAGCCGCGAGCGGGCCTGAGAGGGAAGGGAGAGGACGGATGACAGAGATATCATCATCACAGTAACCTCACGGTTGACTGGTCGGCAGGAATGCAAATTCTCTGGAGTTGCTGATTCTGTTTAAAAACAAAGATGGGAACGGGGGTACGGATGGCCAGATGGTGATCTGATCTGACAAGCGAACAAGGATGGGAACAGGGATGCCACGCCTGCGATATCCGTCGTCCCCGGCAAGGCGGTGACACTGCGAGCCGCGAGCGGGCCTGAGAGGGAAGGGAGAGGACGGATGACAGAGATATCATCATCACAGTAACCTCACGGTTGACTGGTCGGCAGGAATGCAAATTCTCTGGAGTTGCTGATTCTGTTTAAAAACAAAGATGGGAACGGGGGTACGGATGGCCAGATGGTGATCTGATCTGACAAGCGAACAAGGATGGGAACAGGGATGCCACGCCTGCGATATCCGTCGTCCCCGGCAAGGCGGTGACACTGCGAGCCGCGAGCGGGCCTGAGAGGGAAGGGAGAGGACGGATGACAGAGATATCATCATCACAGTAACCTCACGGTTGACTGGTCGGCATTGGACTCCTCCTGCAGTGCAGGTGGAGATTGGATTGGGTCGATAGCTATTGAGCTGCTGGGCTGCTGTTTGCGATTCAGTACGTTAAGCTCGCAGGCCAGCTGGTTATGTTAACTAGCTGAAATGCTAACATGGCTCATTAAGATTCGATTTGCTCTTGTCAGAAAGTCAAGATCACTCGCCTAGCTGGGCGAGCTTATCAGTAATCGAGCCAGCAGGGCAAGACCAGGACAGGCGAGATATCACTCGCGTTTGGTACAGTTACATATTGTAATGGAATAGAATATGAGAGAGTTGACTAGCAATATGGCATGCACATTACTATCCTCATGTGTATTTGTTGCTTTCAAATGCTGTTGACCTGCCTGTTCCCTTTACCATGGTTGCAGCCTTGTTTATAGGAGTTAAAACTCCTACATAGACGAGCAATGTGATGAACAATGTCCGTCGTTGTTTACATCAAAATTTAGAAATAAGAACGCGGAAACTCGAAGCTTCCAAGATTACGTCATCGAGGAATCGATTGCATAAGGATCGACATCAGCTGATTCAGATGCGGCACTAGAATCGACTCTCTCTTCGAACGACGTCAACAGATGACGACAATGAGCTACGGTTGGCGTCAAGAAATATACGTCGGACTCTTAAAAAGGAAAGATTAGGATTCAAGTTATCTTAAGTTAGAAATATTTTCTTTTATACCAAAGATTGTAATGAGTCGTACTTGAGTAGGGTTCATGCTTAGGCTCCGGGTATAAATACTTGACTCTAAAAGGACATCTAATCAATCAATACAAGTTACTTTTTTGACTTTATACCAACCCTTAGGAGTAGGAGTAGCGTAGATCTCTACGAGTTCTTCGATAAGCAGGGCTGCATCGGCCCGGTCGATCTACGGCTTGTCTGTAAGTACCGTCATGGTTTATGTTTTGGTTTATAAGGCTGCATCGGTTAAGTTCGACCTCCACTGCGAGCTTAGCATAAGCTAGTTATCGATCTTCATCTAGTTCAAGTACAGCTGCATCGGTTAAGTTCGACCTCCACTGCTCGAATTAGATAAGATTAAGTTATCGGCTCTACCTAAGAGTGGCATCCTTTAGGTAGATTCATTAAGTTACCGATCTTGCTAATGTTCTTATTGTTATTAGTTTTTTCAGCAACATCAACCTGCTCGGTCGAGATCAATCTAGATCGGCCTCATATTCTTTTAGTCCGTCGTTTTGCTTTGTTACAATATGATGTTTCTTACTTTGAGCGACGGGTTATGTTTCATCGGCTGTTCTATTTTGATCTTAATCGTGCATAGTACATGGTTAAGGCACGTGTGATTTTGAGGAGGTTTGCTGGCTACTTAAATCTGGTCTATAGTTCGCTATTATGGCTGTAATGATCCGGTCGATCTCCACTGATGGCATTTTAGATCGGAGGATGCTAGTTTGTAGATTTGTTTTTGATCAGCCGTGACCTTGACTGTTTGCTATGCCTGCATCGGCTAAATAGCCGATCGCCTATGCTTTAACGCCTACAGTGTGTCTTCATGATTCTATTAAATGTGAATAGATCTGTTTACTTTAAAGGTTTGATATGTTGTCTTTATCACGGCTGCCATCGATCCGGTCGAACCTCACTGTTAGAGATAACAGGTTAAGTCTGATGAGTTTATAGGTTTGTCCATGTTAAATAGTCGATTGTTCACATGTTGTAGTCCCTTTTCACCTGAATCGGCTATTTCTGCCGATTTGCTTGAAGCTTTCACACATAGGAGACCCACTTGCGCGTGGAGAAGGCCCGAGACTATCCACGGAGTTACCCGACCGGAAGCTTGGCCCTTGCGAGAGATTCCTTGCGAGGGGCTCCAACGAGGACTAGAGGAAAGCTTGCGTGCTTCTTGATACCTCGGTAAAAATACTAGAGTCGTCGACGGGAGTTTGCATATCTCTACCTTGCTCTTTAGCTTCCGCATTTACATTGATTGTATTGCTCCTTTTGCGGTAGAGATAGCAACACACTAGCAAAACCATAGTTGCACATTTAGATAGTTTATCTTTTACATAGATTTTGTTAAGATTAAAAAAAGAGGCCATAGTTTAGAATTAGAATTTTAAGTTGCTTAATTTACCCCCCTCCTCTTAGGCGTCACGGTCCCCTACAAGTGGTATCAGAGCCGGTTGGCTCAATTTGGACCTTTGGCTTAACCACCGTTGAGCCGACGCTATTTAAAGTGATTGGGATGGATACCTCTAGGCCTCCGCACTTTGACGGCACTAACTTCTCCTATTATAAAGCTAGAATGGCTTGCTACCTAGAGGCGGTTGATTTGGGAGTTTGGAGAGTCACTTGTGACGGGATGAAACCCATTAAGAATCCCGACAAACCCACAAAGAGTGAAGAAAAGAAAATACATTTCAATGCTAGATCTAAGAATTGCTTGTTTGAATCTTTTAACATGGATGTGTTTAACCAAGTGTTCACTTTAAATACGGCACATGAAATTTAGTTAAAACTCCAAGAGCTCCATGATGGCACATCTAATGTCCGTGAGCAAAAACATTGTCTAGCTAAACAAAATTATGATTCTTTTACAATGAATGATGATGAGCTTGTTCGTGATATGTATTCTCGTTTGAATCTAATTATCAATGAGCTCCATTCAATAGGATTAACAAAGCTAGATGATGCGGACATCATGAGGAAGATCATCTCCGTGTTACCATAAAAGAAATATGCAAGCATCATCACCATCCTCACAACGTGAAGAACTTGAGCACCATGACCCCGACTATAGTCATTGGCAAGACAGTGGCATTTGAAATATCACGCAAGATGGGTCAAGAAGAAGCTTCTTCATCAAGCAAAGATAAAGCTCTCACATGTAGCGAGAAAAAGAAAATGAAGGACAAGCAAGTTGAGACAAGCTCAAGCTCAAGCTCCTTAAGTGAAGATGAAGAAGAAGATGAGGATGATGATGATGATGATGATGATGATGATTCAAGTGATAATGATCAATCTTCCTCCTCCACCTCCGACCTTGATGAAGAATCAATCAAGCTTAT